GCCCGCGGCAACGGCGCCGCCGACGCCACCCGCGCTGTGAACCAGCGACGCGCTGCCCGCGGGGTGGCGCCCATACACCCATCGGCCGTCTACAGGTACGTCAAGGGCATTAGCCACCCAGCGGGCGCCACGGAGACTCGCGGCCGGAAGCGGGTCTTGACTCCGAAGGACGCCGACAAGCTCGACCGAGTCCGGAAGCGCTTGGTGAAGGCAGCCAACAACCAGAACCGGGTCACTTACGCCGACGTGGTCGCGGCGGCGGACATGGAGGGCCGCGCGTGTCAGCGCACTTGCGAGGAGGCCCTGCGGAGCAAGGGGGTGCGCTTCTGGCAGCCGCGAAAGAAGATCTTGTTGACCGAGGAGGACGCCAAGGTCCGCGTTGAGACGCTGAAGGCTTGGCTGAAGCGCCCGAAGAAGTATTGGGAGACGGGCGTGCACGCGTGGGTGGACAACAAGAGCTGGGTCATGCCCCTCACTCCGAAGCAGCGCGCCAAGTACAGGCAAACCCTGATAACTGGACACCTTCGCAAGCCAAGCGAGGGGACGGAGAAGGGCATGACGAAGCCTCGGCAGAACCATTCTTTCCTGGGCATCCCATCGGTCTGCGTGACAGCGGCGGTTGCCAAGGACCGGGTCATTCTGTGGCACGCGCAGGACGGCAAGTGGAATGGGCAGAAGGCCGCAGACACCTACTCTGGGCAACTTCTAAAGGCGCTGCGACGCACCTGGGGGCCCCGCAAATCTTACACTATCGCTGAAGACGGGGACCGGAAGGGCAACCAGAGCCAAAAGGGCATCGACGCTAAGTCTGCGTGCGGCATCAAGGCTCTCACGCTCCCGCCGCGGACCCCCTCGGTGATGCCCCTGGACTTCTCCATCTGGAAGGCCATAGAGAAGCGCCTTGTCCAGACGGCGCCCAAGACGACGGAGACCAAGGACGCCTTCCTCCAGCGGCTCAAGAGTTGCGCGCAGAAGTTGCCGAAGAACTACGTGAAGAGCGTGATTGCGCGAATGCGCCCAAATATGCAGGATATCGTCGACGCCGACGGCTACGCCCCGAAGAACGACTGAGGGTTCTCCCCCGAGCCCGACCGTTCGGGCGCGTTTTGCCATGCAGTCATAGTCGATGCCTTCCTCGGGCCCGAGGCGGCGCGGGCTGTTCGATTTTTCCACGTGGCTCGGCGGTGGCTGGGGGGCATTCGTTGCTCCTTTCCAGATGAGCTTGGCCGCGCCGCTGCCAGGGCGCAGTCCGTTGCGCCCATCGCCAGCAGACGCGCGGCGCGAGCAGCTCGGTTCTCCGATCTGGTCAGTATATGGCCAGGGTACAGTCGTTGTTCTGCGCGCGTAGTGCGCACGTGCGCAGACTTCATATCCCGCCCGAGTTGCCCTTGCAAAAACCGTGCCAGATTGAAACCCGCGGATAGGATATTTGGGGTTCGATGTCGACGCGCGGTCGCCCGCGTCGCGGCGTCGGCAAGGCCATCGGGATCCCGGGTGAATTTGTTCGGCGCGTTCTGGCCCTGGGGCGCTGCGTTCGCGGGTGGGGGCGCTGCGGTCGGGTATCCAAGACTGTGGCGTGGCTGGGCTCCTCGGCGCAGCCCTCGTAGTCGGGGCGCTTGTCGGGTCGCCGGACGACGTCTTGGGGCCGTTCCCCATTCTTGCTGAATGACCAGAGGACGATTGGCCAAAGGACCACTGGACGAGAGGACCAACGAACCACATAACCAGAGGACCGAATGATCAAAGGACCAGGGGATTCCGTGTCACGAAGGTCCTTAGTGTGTATTGCGGCTCACTCAAGTCGAGGACGACGTAGTCGCAATGTCACATGTCAGACATTGGGCGCGCTTGGGAACGGCAGTTGCCCTTCGACGTGGGGATGATTCCCTGTCTTAGATTGACTTACAGGAAACGCCCATGAGATCGCCATGACTGGCGTTCTGGTGCGTGGAGATTTGCTCAGGCGTAGCTAAGGCGACGCGGCGATGCGATCGCCGGGAATGGCGTTCAGGGAGGTGCCTTTTGTTTAAGCCGAGCCGCGACGATTTGTGGGATCTGTGCGTGGCTCAGACGAAACGATGGCGACATCGCGGCGAATTGCTTTTTCGGACGTTACGATGCGTTCGGTCCTAGCCTGGCTACGACGAAGGGATGATGAGGTTGCCAGGAATGGCGTTCTGGGACATTTCCATTTGCTCGGTCCTAGCCTGGGGCCTTTAAAAAAAAAAAGGGGGAAACGAAAACGGCGATGGGATGCCAGGAATGGCCGTTCTAGGGACGTTACGAATTTTTTTCGGTTTTAGCCCTGGCTCTGACGCAAACGAACATGAAAGCCACGAAGTGCGATAGGGTTTACACTTTCCAACGTTATGAATGCCTTTTTGGAGGCTTCTCGCTAAGACTTATGCACAAAAGACGCCCCGATCGGCCCGTTTGGAAATGCTTAATAGAAATATTTCAATTTCTTATTTCAAGAAATTTCAACGACGTTACGAACGGCGGTCGTTTTGGGGGGGGGGGAGAGGAGGGGGAGGAAGTCCTGCACCAGAGCTCCAAAAAGGCATTCATAACGTTGGAAAGTTGCAACCCTATCGCACTTCGTGGCTTTCATGTTCGTTTCGTCTTAGCCAGGCTAGGACCCAAAAAATCATAACGTTGAAAAGTGTGAAACTCTTGCCCGGAATCACGATGCATCTTGCCAGAACACCATTCCCAGGCCACATCGTGAGTGCCCGGAGCCAACTGTAGGCCACTTTGTGCTCTTCGTGTTCCCAGAACACCACTCCCAGGCCACATCTTGGGTGCCTGGAGCCAACTCTAGGCAGTTTTGCGTTTTGTTTTGCGTTGCTTAGCGTTGCTTGGCATTGCTGGGCATCATCATCATCGTTTCGTCCTGGCCGGGCTAGACCGAGCAGAATCGCCGCGGTCCCAGAACGACCGAAATTGCCGAGGGAGGCAACGGCATCCTTCTAGGAGGCCACATTTGCAGGCACCCCCCTTCTAACACATGTTTTAGCTAAACTGCCGAAGCTAAACTGCCGCCTTCGGCCGGTTTTGCATGCATCGGCTGCTCGTTTGTATGAGTTTGATGACATGTGTGTGTGTGTGTGTCTGCTCGTCGCAATCGTGCTTGGATGTCGCTCTCCTTTGAGTCCGCGCTTTTCAGTGGTCACTACTTGTTTCGATATTCAAGAGGCTCACGCCATTCCGCCGCCCCGCAGGAAGTTTTTGAAGTCTACAATATTGCTTTAGGGCGATACGAGTCTGGACAGGAAAGTCGCATGGCCAGTCACAGCCTTTCCCCAACCACATCCATGGCCAGATACCTTCCCAATCGTGGTTAGCATACTCTCCCGAGATTTTCAGCAGAACTTGTTCTTGCTGATTGACGGAGTGATCCCTGCTTCCCGAGGGAGGGGGTTTCGACCCAGAGGTGTATTACTGGAGCGAGTCCAGAACGCACCGTCGCCTTGGCCGTCGCCATGGTTTGATTGCCAGCGGGGACCTCGCAGGCCCAGGGTAGCCGGATTATATTTTTCGTGTTTCAGAAGGGGGAAACTCTCGGCTTTTTTTGTTTTTTCCTGTCAGGGGCTCGTGGGCCCCATTGCAAAAAACAACAATGCGACGTGCGTGTGGACTCGCTCCATTAATACCACTCATGGGTCGAACCCTCCCTCGGGAAGCAGGGACCACTCCTTCAATCAGCAAGAACAACTTCTGCTGAAAATCTCGGGAGAATATGCTAACTACGCTTGGGAAGGTATCTGGCCATGGCTGTGGTTGGGGAAAGCCTGTGGCTGGCCATATGGCCTTCGTTGTTGAGTTCCATTGCGAAACGCATCTGTTTTCACCATGGAATTCCAGCTCGTGGCCTTTTTCTGTACAGTTGTTTGTTTGGGGGGGTGGCCGGGCTCCGAGGCCGAATCCAAGAAATACATCGACGAAGTGTTGTGAGGAGTGTTTCGGTATTCAATTCCTACTGCAAAGCGTGTATGTTTTCACCATGTGATTCCGGTTTGTTGCGGTTTCTGTAGATTTCTGTTTTTTGTGCTCTGGATTCTGGCTCCGAGGCCGAATCCAAGAGCTAAATCGACTATGTTTTGGGAGGGGTCTTTCGGTGTTCAATTCATATCGCCAAGCGCGTATGTTTTCACCATGTGATTCCGGTTTGTGACGGTTTCTGTAGATTGTTTTTTTTTATGCTTTGGATTTTCGCTCCGAGGTCGAATCCAAGAGATAGATCGACTAAGTTTTGGGAGGGGCCTTTAGGTGTTCACTTCCTACCGCAAAACGCGTATGTTTTCACGATGTGATTTCGGTTCGTGGCGCTTTTCTGTAGATGTCCGTTTTATTTTGATCGGGATCTTGGCTCCGGTGCCGAAGTCAAGGGTTAAATCCCTGCTCGAACCGATCCCTACACAGAGCCTGGGCTTCAAATGTCAACCGAATATGTATAGGATGCATTTCGGTCTTCCTCGTTTGTTTCCATATCCTCCTCACGTTATATAGCAAAACGCGTATGTTTTGTCTTATCCTCCTCACGTTTTATAGCAAAGGAGGTTTTCAGCATGTGCACTTGCGGACACCCACGGCGCAACCCACAGGACACCCGCAGGACAATGTGCAGGACAGACAGCCACGGGACCACGAGCGGGCCATTGGCAGGACAACCCACGGGGCAAACCGCTGGACAGCGCACGGGACAACCTGCGGGGTAGCCAACGCCTGCATTGGTGATCGTAGGCGTTGCAACGCTTGTTCGTTGGCATTGATGCTCAAGCGCGCGGGCCTTGGTCCACTGCCGCGCCAACTACTCCGAACAAGCACGCGACCCCAGCTGCTCATCGATGGAGGTCCCCGCTGCTGATAGCAATGTTCGGAATGCCGATGTCCCCCCAGAGGCAGCCGCAGAACAGCCTGCGGCTGCCGCTGGTGGTAGCGGGGATGCTGACGCTGTTTCGTCGAACTCTTCGACAAGCGAGGAGGAAGACGACGTGGCCATGTCAGAGGCCGAGGGCGACTCCAGCGCAGATGATGATGAGGGCGCAGCCCACACGTCAGCCCGTGGCAGATGCGGCCAGTTCGTCTGGCCGTGCCCGCGCGAGTATCCCTCGCAGCTGGATGAGCGCGAGGCTGAGCCCAAACTGATCGAATCGCGTGCTCCGCGGTGCCGACGGATCCATCGCAGGCGTTCCGCCCGATCGATCAAATCATGGTCGCGGTCGATGGACCGATCGCTGGCTCGTTCGATGGCGTTTTGTGCGACGCTTAGGCGTCGCCGGCGGAAGTGGCTGAAACCAGAGGACATGTCGAAACAGGAGGTGGGCAATGCGTTCAAGAAGGCGTGCAAAAAGCTAGGGCAGGGCCCCAACTTGGAGAAGGCGCGCCAGGGTGGCAACGAGCAGTGTTGCGGGGGGGGTCGTGGGCCCCAGCCGGCCACCCTTTTGCGACATTTGTCCTTCGGTTGCGCCCGAAGGTCCACGTCTTCTCCGAGCCGCACAAGCGCTGGAAGAAGGGCACGGACGCGAGGGAGAAGCACATGCACATCGTGTTCAAATTCAAGGAGCCCTTCGCGCACCAGCGGCTCCAGCGAGAGCTGTCCCAGCAGCATGGCATCCGCGGGCACTTCTCCTTCAACCTGACGGGGTACGCCGACTACCTGGGGTACTGCTTGATCGAATCGAGCAAGAAGCTTCTGGCCGACATCGATCGGGATCCATGGTCGTGGCCGCCGATTCCTGTCGAACGCCTCCTGAAGTTAGCCGAGAATCCCTCGGCGCAGATGGAGGGCCGCCTCGGCGTGAGCAAACCTGGCCGAAAGAGGTCTCTCTTGACGTTCTCGGAGATCACGGACGCTTTCGTGGAGGCGAACGTCGTGACCGAGCGGAAGGACCCTGGGCCCTGGCGAAGCATGCGCAAGTTTAGACGGACCTGCCGCATCCTACACAACGCTGGGCAAGGAGAACGTGCGGAAATTGATCGGCAAGGTGCGGCAGGCTTGGAACCCCGAGCAGATCTCCGAAGGCACTCTGGTCCAGAGCCCAGAGTTCGATCTGGGAAGGTTCATCCCCGTTGGCTCTGTCGGTCCTGGGGTGTCGCGGTGGGCGGCTGGTGGCTGGAAGTCCACGGCGCTCGTCTTGCGCGGGCCTGGTGGCTTGGGCAAGACGGAGTTTGCCTGCGCCTTGATGCACATGGTCGCTCCCGCGAAGGCTTTCCATTTCCTCAACAAGACTGACCGCCTCCGGGACGTGGATTTCTTCCCAGGGCAGGGGTTGGTCATTGACGAGATGTGCCTCTGGGAGCGGGACATCGACGACGCCAAGGCGCTCGTCGACGTCAAGAAGTTGCGGGACGTCTCGTGCCGCAACCGGGATGGCACGATCCCGCAGGGCACGCCGCGTATTTTTACCACTAATTGGTCCTGGTGGGACTTCTGGCCCCCCGCAGTCGCCTTGCCTGCCCACGCCGCCCCGATTAGTCGACGGGTGGAGTGGGTGGAGGTCGCGGAGGACCTCCGCGCGGGCGTCGCCCCGCCACCTGATGGGCCAGACGTGCCCAGCAGGCCCGTGGGCGGCCCCGTGCTCCCCGTTTCGCAGCCGGGTTGATGCGTTCGGGGCGGTGCTGGGAAAATGCAGACAGGCGCCGTCTCGGCGTGGATATGGCATCTGTTTCATTGCATTGCGTTGAATTGTCCCCGTTGCGGTGACTTGCGTCGTTTTGCGTGGATATGTTTGGGGCGCCTTGCGTTGCGCGGCGTTGCTTTAAATTTTGCCTTGGCCTACAGCGTTTCTTCTTTTTTTTTTGGGGGGGGGCCTTGGTTTGCGCGGCGCGCGCCGCGCCGCGTAGATTGCATCGTCTGGATGTGACAAGGTCGATGTTCGGGTTCGAATTGGCTGGGGGTCGATTGCGACATGTCACGCGATGCATGAAGAAGCGGTGCCGAGTTAATGTTGCCGGAAGGCCGTGGATGTAAAGAATTAACGCGAAATCGATTCGTAACGTTGGATTTCGCCATTCAACGGCCTCAGGAAGAATGCTTCGGCAAGATGTCTGGCAGCCAATGAAAATGTAAAAAATAAACGCGAACCACGGAAGAACTTTTCCTTCACCCGTGGCGGGTTACGCCGAGGTATTGGCATATCTCTTTGCATGGCGGATTCAATGTTACGAATGGTTTTCGCGTTAATTTTTTACAGCCACGGTACTACTACTACTACTACTACTACTACTACTACTACTACTACTACTACTACTACTACTACTACTACTACTACTACACTACTACTACTACTACTACTACTACTACTACTACTACTACTACTACTACTACTACTACTGCTACTACTACTACGACTACGACTACTACGACTACTACACTACTACTACTAACTAAGGAAACTACTACTACTACTACTACTACTACTACTACTACTACTACTACTACTACTACTACTACTACTACTACTACGACTACTACTACTACTACTACTACTACTACTACTACTACTACTACTACTACTACGACAACTACTACTACTACTACTACTACTACTACTACTATTACTACTACTACTACTACTACTACTACTACTACTACTACTACGTATAATGAAAAACTGGTGCTACATTTCATCATCATCACCATCATCGGTATCAGCATCATAATCAGTATCACCAGTATCAGCATCACCGTCATCATCATCACCATCATCATCGCAATGTCCCCTCCCTCCCTTCCTCCCGCATTGTGGCCTCCTCGCTTAGAGTGCTCGACGCAGAACATCTCCCGCCGCATCCCTCCTCCCCCTCCTTCCTCCCCGTCACATTCCCCTCTCGCACGTGCCTACCACGTAACCCGTTCACAGCAGTGCCACTTGCAGTGTGCTATAGACAGGCGCAGCACGTTTTGTCAATGCCAAAGCATGCACGGCGTGCAAAGTTCCTGTAGATCTAGATACATAGACATATATATATATATATATATATATATATGTGCATCTATATACATATATATGTATGTGTGCATATGTACCTGTGTGTCTGTCTCTCTCTCCCTTCTTTCTGTATCTTCGTATATATATACACACAAAACATACAGATATACATCGGTGTGTAAACAAATACATATATATATATACATACATACATATATATATATGTGGGCGTGTGTAGATGAGGACTGTGCTTCGAAGGCGAGAGAAGGGGGCAAGCGCGGAGAGCACATAGGGAAAGGCAGCGGGGAAGGGGCGAGGGGGGGAAGGGAGAGGGATGGAGAGGGAGAGGTGGGCGGGGGGAGGGAGGCGGAGGAAAGAAGGGGCAGGGGGGGGAGCCGACTTTGGAAGGCGAAGTGGGAGATACGAGCGATTCTCCGCGTGCTCGGGGTATCGGGCGCATCTGCCTGCAACAAGACATAGGAACCCTCCCCCCATATCCCTCGCCTCACCTCTCTTCCCTCCCCCCCCCTCCCTTCCATCCCTCCCCACTTGCCTCGAACGCAGCACTTCTGCCGCTCGGCGCGGCCAGAGCGGGCAGAAGATGGCGCGGCCTTCTCCCAACGCTCGCGGCTGGTGTCGAAGAAGGGCAGGTGGATCTTGCTCCCGACGCCGCAGGTGAACTGGGAGGCGGCTCGGCGCTCCAGCCGAAGAGGATCCAGAGAAGAGGGGCACCAGGAAGGCGAGGGGATGAAAAGGGACAGCAACGAGAGGGGGGGGGGGGGGAAGGGAGCAGATAAGGGGACAAGAAAAAACGCTGGGCGGACGCCTCGGATCCAGAAGACCACTGGCGCGCCACTCTCGCCGCGCTCTCCTGCGCTGCTCGGAAGGCACCGGCGACGCGCACGTTGCGGGTCGGTCTGAAGAGGCGGAGGAGGAGACAGAGGATGGAAATGAGGAGAAGGCGACGGAAGGCTTGGTCTTATGTTGCATCCTCGGGGGACCTCGTCTGTCCCGTCGCGGCCCCATCCGCGTCGAATCCGTGTCGAATCCATGTCGGCCTCGCCGGATCCGTGTCGAATCCGCGTCGAATCAACGCCAAATCCGCGTCGAGTCGGCGTCGAGCCCGCGTCGGGCACAAGAAAAGACACCAATTTTGGGGACAGGCGAGGTCCCCCGAAGATGCAACGAAATTGGTCACGGCCTCGCAAGCTGGGGTGCTCGGCATGTAGCTAGCCTCACCGAGCGCCACCAGCGATCGCGCAAGGGCGACCGTGAGCGGCGCTATGGCGGCCAGCTCTGCACCTGTGCGGACGCCGGTCGCTCTCTCGAAACCAGGGCTCCCAACACGCCCCCATGGCACCAGCTGTCCTGGCCGCCAAGGGGCCCACGGTAGGCCTCCCGAGAGACTCCAAGAAGCATCTGAAAAAAAAGCGCCTTGCAACCAACTCTCCACAAAACGACGTTGGGAAGTCCCTGCCTCCCTCCTCCTCCTCCTCCTCCTCCTCCTCCTCCTCCTCCTCCTCCTCCTCCTCCTCCTCCTCCTCCTCCTCCTCCTCCTCCTCCTCCTCCTCCTCCTCCTCCTCCTCCCCCAGACAGCTCCCGCTGGCCGCGAGGGCCGGTCTTCAGCATCAGGTACCAGTCCGCTGCAGTTCCGGTGCAGTTGTCCCGTTTTCAGTCTCCAGCGCTGCTCTCCGAGCAGTGCTTGCACTCAGGGATTCTGATTCGTTTTCTAGGGAACTGGGCCTGCGCGTCGGTCTGGCGGCCATGTAGTCGCCGTCGTCGCCCCGACGCCGGCTCGTCGCCGCCCGTCGTCTGGGCCTGCGCGTCGGTCTGGCGGCCATGTGGTCGCCGTTGCCGCCCCGTCGCCACCTCGTCGCCGCCCGTTTTCTGGGCCTGAGCGTCGGGTCCGCCGCCTTGTGGTTGCCGTCGCAGCCCCGTCGCCGCCTCGTCGCCGCCCGTCTTCTGGGCCTGCCCGTCAGTCTGCGTGGGTGACGATCCGACCGCCGTGTGGTCGCCGTCGCCGCCCTGTCGCTCTTGTCCTGCCCGTCGGTCTGGCGGCTGTGTGGTCGACGTCGCCGCCCCGTCGTTGCATTGCTTTGCATTGCGTTACATTGCTGTGGATTGGCTTGCATTGCCGAACATTGATTTGCATCGCTTTGCATTGCGTTGCATTGCTTTGTGTTGTCTTGCATTGCGCTACTTTGCGATGCGGTGCATTGCGTTGCATTGCTTTGCACTGTCTTGCATTGCGTTAAACTGCGTTGCGTTGCGTAGCATTGCTTGTCGTTGCTTTGCGTTGAGTTGCATGGTTTTGCGTAGCGGTGCATTGCTTTGCATCGCTTTGCATCGCTCTACATTACGTTGCATTGTTGTGCATTGCTGTGCATTGCTTTGAACTGCGCTGCATTTCTTTACATTGGGTTGCATTGCGTTGCACTGGTGTTCATTGCTTGGCAGTGCTCTGCTTTGCGTCGCAGTGCGTTCCATTGCTGTGCATTGCGTTACATGGCTTTGCATTGCAGCGCATTGCTTTACATTGCTTTCCGCTGCACTGCATTGCTTTGCATTGCTGTACATTGCGTTACATCTTTGTACACTACGTTGCATTGGTTTGCATTGGTCTGCATTGCGTCGCATTGCTTTGCATTTCTTTGCATTGGTTTGCAGTGCTTTGCATTGGCTTCCGTTGCGTTGCATTGCGTTGTACTGCTTTGCAGTGCATTCCAGTGCATTGGTTTGCGTTGTTTTGAACTGTTGGCTGCGTTGTTTTGAACTGGTCTGCGTTGCGTTGCAATGACTTGCACTGCTTTGCATTGCTTTGCATTGCTTCGCATTGCTTTACATTGGTTTGCATCGCGTTTCATTGATTGTCATTGCGTTGCGTTGTGCTGCATTGCTTTGCGTTGCGTTGAATTGGTTTGCATCGCTTTGCATTGCGTTGCATTGGTTTGCATTGTTGCGCATGGAGTTGCATCGCTTTCCGTTACACTGTATTGGTTTGCATTGCTGTGCATAGCTTTGAATTGTTGTATACTGCGTTGCGTTGCTTGGCATTGCTATGTTTTGCGTCGCATTGCTTTGCATTGCTTTGCCTTGCTTTGTATTGTTTTGCATTAGCTTGCATTGCTACGCATAGTTGTTCAATGCTTTGCTGTTCATGGCGTTGTCCTGTTTTGCACCATATAGACTGCATTAAAATCATAGTACCAGCTCGATTGCACCAACTTGACTACACCACATTGATTGCACCACATTGGTTGCATAGATTGCAAGGGATCACTGTTTGGGGTCATTTCTAGCTGACATTTGATTATACTTCCTGCTTCCTGTTGGAAATTGATACTGAGCCGCGCGAAGGGGGGAGCCGAAAACCGCCCTGGCTTCCACGGCTTCCAAGGGTTCTCAGATCCCCCAGGGGACCTGGGGCCATAATCCTTCGTAAATTACCCAATGCCCGCGCCCCCGAAGCCATGAGCCCTCGCAAATTACTCCGCATTCGCGCCCGAGGCCGCGATTCTCAGAAGATGGCATAAGATTCGCGCACCCGACGCCACGATCCCTTGTAAATGACGCAAGGCTTGCGCCCCCGAGACCAAGACACCATGTAGAGTATACAAAATTCGCGCCCCCGAAGCCGCGATCCCTCGTAAATCACGCAAGGCTCGCCCCCC